CTTCAACATATAAGGGTTTTTGTTGTTGCTGTAAAAATTAATATTGTATATTCGTAATATATGTACATAAAAATTATTTTGTGAGAATTCACGATTTGAAGTTGAACTTCAACGTTATCATTAAAATATATTATGCGGGATTTTTTATCCGGGGGGAATTTATGTTAATATAAGCGCTATACACGTCTTTCAGCGCGCGATCGTATATCATGTAAACAAAAACACTGCATTTTATACGCGGTGTATACGTTGCACGTATAGACCCATAACGCACACAGCGCGTCACAGCGACTATGGCGCTTTAAGTTTAGAATCGATCAATCAACGAGTATATTATGTATTCAAATATACATATCATCTGAACAATGTTTTGCAACAATTGCTACATTCTCGTCGTTCTTAGCGTCAGATGCTTCTGCACAAGTTAATTGCTGTCATGCCATGTTCATTTTGTCGCACTCTGCCATGGTATGTTCATTTCGTCATACTCTGCCATGATATGTTCATTTCGTTATACGTCATGGTATGTTCATTTCGTTATACTCTGCCATGGTATGTTCATTCCGTTATACTCTGCCATGGTATGTTCATTTCGTTATACGTCATGGTATGTTCATTTCGTTATACGTCATGGTATGTTCATTCCGTTATACTCTGCCTTGGTATGTTCATTTCGTTATACGTCATGGTATGTTCATTTTGTCATACTCTGTCATGGTATGTTCATTTCGTTATACTCTGTCATGGTATGTTCATTGTGTTATACGTCGTGGTATGTTCATTGCGTTATACGTCATGGTATGTTCATTTCGTTGCACGCTGTCATGGTATGTTCATTTTGTCATACTCTGTCATGGTATGTTCCTTTCGTTATACGTCATGGTATGTTCATTTCGTTATACGTCATGGTATGTTCATTTTGTTATACGTCATGGTATGTTCATTTCGTCATACTCTGCCATGGTATGTTCATTTTGTCATACTCTGCCATGGTATGTTAATTTTGTCATACTCTGCCATGGTATGATCATTTTGTTATACGTCATGGTATGTTCATTTCGTCATACTCTGCCATGGTATTTTCATTTTGTCATACTCTGCCATGGTATTTTCATTTTGTCATACTCTGTCATGGTATGTTCCTTTAGTTATACGTCATGGTATGTTCCTTTCGTTATACGTCATGGTATGTTCATTTCGTTATACGTCATGGTATGTTCATTTCGTTATACGTCATGGTATGTTCATTTCGGTATACGTCATGGTATGTTCATTTCGTTATACGTCATGGTATGTTCATTTCGTTATACGTCATGGTATGTTCCTTTCGTTATACGTCATGGTATGTTCATTTCGTTATACGTCATGTTATGTTCATTTCGTTGCACGCTGTCATGGTCAATTACAGTTTTGCTGTTAACTGATAACATTGATAACATTTTTTGTTGTTGTTGCTATCTCCCAAATACTTAATGTTTGCTATATACATATATTTTTAATTTTCAAATAAAACAGAACGCATTTTAATACAAGTGGCTTTATACTAGTAATCCCACCAATACAGCTAATGCCAATATCGATTGTAATCGATTGGTTCATTGAACATTATTTCAATTCATATTTGTTGCGTGAAAATTGTTCATTTGTAATATTAGCTCAAATAATAATATTTTATTTTAGTAGTTGATGTAGAGAAATTAGTACAGTCTGACAGGATAGGTATTCATTATTGCATCCTCGTCTCTAGTTGCACATTGGCAGAGCAAATCCACCGAAGAGGGCGCTAAAGCCGAACTCTCTCGCTGGCAATGTGCCAATGGAATGAATGGTATGATATTTTGACATACTAGTTGTATATTACTCAACCCATGCACTGTGTACATAATAAATTCAATAAATCACTAACATTTGTATATAATAATGTTATCCATGGTGTGTTTTATGTGTAGAGTACAGATGTGAGTGATGTACTATATCCTCGGGCGGAGCTACGTCACAAGACGTTGCTATTAAAGACGCGCACCACTGTACCATGTATTTCTATGGGCTCTACGCGAGCTGGTGTGGAACGCTGGTGAAAATAGCTAAATTCGAGGAAAACAGCATAAAATCAACTTTCAAGCAACTTTGAAGATATCTGGACAACCAAATTTATATATGTTGGTGTTATCTTATTACACTGTTCATGGGAGTCTCAATAACCATTCCAAAGTACCCTTTTCTGGGAGTTTTCGGCCTTTGTTTTCACCGTGATGGTTGCCAGGCGGGGAACATACCCGGATGTCCGCCCCCCCGAGAATAGGGCGATAAAAAAATACTCAATCAAGGCGTACATGCACATGGACGGTGGGGGCGCCTTGAGTAAGTCAAAAATGGAAGTCGACTCGTGCTGTACATTCTCACCAATCAGCAATCCGTTTTTGTGTTATTTGGTTAAAATTTGAACACGCTTCCATACAATCACGCGTGTTCAAACGGAAGTGAAATATTAATTGGCCATAATTACTGTATCTGTGTACAGTATAGATTCTGGGGTCTACCTGAAATGTATATTTTTACGTACTTGCAAATTGAGTAAAAAATTGTGATTGTGTCACAGCGTACTAGTGAACGCTGCAATAGCGACGGCTTCGGTGTTATCAATAACGAGAAACAAAATATCAGATCCAGAAATTTCACTCAGTATTTCCATACCCCATATGCAGATGAGGTCTGAGAGCAAACAAAGTAGTCCCTTCAGGAGTACCGTTTTTTCGAAACATAGCAGAAATAAACAATATTTAGAAGTACGATATTTTTCCCTTGGGGTACATGAATATACTTGCCGAGTGAAATGAAATTTGAACATCAGTAATGGTAATCTCACCCATGCAATAATGTTTTCGGCATTTTCACGGTCGATATGCAAATGACATGGTATTTCCATTGGCTACCGAACTGTGTTTTTTTTTTCGCTCGTGAAAGTACGGCCGCAGGATACACCGCATCACTTGTGAAAATAACTTCCATACGCAACGAAAGCAACGGGGAGGGTGTGGGGTTCTGCCATAAGCCTCAACGTTCTAAATCTTGAAGAAGTTTGTAGATACAGATTTTTTAAATAATAATTACAGTAGTATTCATTAGAATATGTGACGTAATATACTTATCAGCCTGAGAGCACTATTCTCAAGGTAATTTTTATTGAACATTGCTTAAAAAACTAATAAGTCTGCACACATTGCCCCAAATAGGTACTACTTTACATATCTTGGCACGGTGGTTACTGATCATTTAGTAACTGATTGTAGTGATACATTTGTAGTGTCAAATGCAATAAATACTAGCCAATTATTTTTCATTTACAATGGATTGCTCTAGTTGCGGAAAATTATTTTGGAAAAATGATTCTGATATTGATCTTGTTACAACAATTACAATACTAAGTATTTGTTTATTGTTTTTCAATTGTATCAACAAAATGTTATTGTTGAAAATATTCATGGATATTTATAAATTACACACGTGATGTCACTCCTGACACTTACTAAAATATTGTGCAAGAAGTTCTAACATAGAGTACAGTAAAATAATAGCGGCAATAATAAGATTGGTGCAGTTAAAGATACACCTAAATGTACATGAAACTATCACTATTGAGATACTAACTAAAGTGCTATCTAAATTATGTCCACTTCGGACACGACGGGTGTTCGTCATCATCTCTCATAACGGCGTATTGATGTCCCATCCCATAATGCAACACGATGAGGTGTTAACTACTAATGGGAAAATAGTTTAATAGTGACCGTTAGAAAGGCGAGCGATGGGAATCACTCCGGACTGATGTATAAATTGTCTATATGAACGTAACAAATTGCAAGAGTGTATTATTCTATAAACGACGAAAACTGCATATAAAGATTCGCGTGATTACGGTAAAATGACTAGACTACCGTATACACTATCCTATGCCAAGCAACATAACCTTATTCAGCCCAGACTGTCTTACTCGTTCCCATGGCGATAAGCACACATCCAACCGTCAACTTAGTTTAATGCATATGATTCTACAAAATATCACACTTTTTCCCTATCGAACAAATACACGATTATCTTTTTAAATCGCCTCCTAGGAATCGCCTTTTACTATGGTTTGGAGATATGTGCTTACTAGGAATTGTATACATTAAACTAATGTCGTTGTGTGTGGATGTATTTAGTGATATAATGGTAAATGGACACTTTGTGAAGATGACAATGTTCATGATATAGCTTGTGAGTGTGACTTCTATGGAAGCAAGAATTTTAAAACTGACTGAATTTTAGTCACTGTATTTCTCCAGACCCATAACACATTTGGAACGATCAATGAATATAACGTCTGAATTCAAAACGATCGTCAAAATACAATCTAATATAAATCAAATCTTGTTGGGCTTTTTCTTTTAGACTTTTAATTGCTCATTTATTTTTTCAAGAATATCTCATTCGTGGAATCTTAAATAACAATGATTAGTCAACCAATCAAAGGAGGCCTTGTATACACTGATTGTGCCGTTCGTGGACAATCGTCAAAGTTTTTGATTGGTTATAATAATAGTTTTCAAGAGTTGAACGAGATCTCTTCAAGTTATGGAGGTTGTTCAGATCTCTGGCTTTCACGATCAGACGCATTTAGATTTGAACACGACGTGTCAATGTGAGTATACTTTGAATCATGTGACGTTTATTTCATACTTCATAGAGTGCAACTTTACAATCCACGTGAAATACCCAGTACAAAAGCGCATGAAAAAATAAAACTCAATATAAATAAATGAATTCATATACATATATAGAAACATACATGTATGTCAAACCATTGCAGTTCCCATGTTCATATAGCTTTAGTAATCAATAATGACGTACCAGCACTACTGTAAATGCATTGATCATTTTCTTGGTTTTGATTTTACAATTTTCGATGGTAAGTAAAATCCACCAAGAATTAAAGCCACGTGAATACGTAAAATAACAATATAATTCATTGTTTTACCGCAAATCTATGAACTTAAAAACACGGCGACTAAAATACCAAAATTATCATAATGGAATTACATGTCTGTGAAAATACATGGTTTTACAGTATATTAAAGTCGTGGTGTATACACACTCCCCCGTGAACTCACACTTTATAGCGAGATCTCGTTGCCTGAAGATGAGCCGGAACCTTATCCGCTACCCATGAAGTGCAGCTTGACTTTTACGGCGTTGAATATGCATGGCCATGTGTCATTTCAGGTTATGGTGTCAACACGCCCGTCAGCACGTGCACATGGCCACTTTATACGTACACGTCATTTGCACCATGATAATGGCCGTTACTAATGGGTCACTGACCCGGAACCACAAATTCCCTTTCTAGTGTTGACATGCCTACCAACCACCTGAATAGCACAGAATTCCTTTAACAGGGGTACAGCAGGATCCGTCATCCAGAAAATCTGTTACTAGTCTATGGAATGTTGGATGCCTACGGCTGTTCTTTTTTTCTCCGCAAAAAGTCTCAATTAGTACCTACCTGTTTGGTTCAGTTTCTAGTTTGCTTTGATGGTCCTTAATTGGATCGAGGATTCAACAGTTTAACGCTGTGTTCTGTATTTTACGTTACGTCTATAGTACTACCACGGAATAAAACAATACAGGAAACGTGTTTATGTTCTTGCTTTTGTAATACGTCAACTACCAAGCTGCGCAATTTGAATAGCCCTTAGAGGCAAAATAAACTTTGAGATCTCGGTGGAAGCGAGACAACCACGAAACTTGTTTGTGTCCTTTAAATAATATCCAACCCTCTTGCGTAATCGCGTCTACTATTCCCCAACTCATTGTAACCATGGTATTTGTAACATTGGGCGCGATGACGAGTGGGACTAAAAATATTACTATGCGCATCTCTCGTTCGACGAGATCTATGCAGCCATTTGCGTGTAAATTATATTAATGATGCGAACCAGTAATTCAAAACGCATGCGCATTTATCAAACGTCTATCGTTTAGTTTTACGAGCAACCAAGAAGCAGTATAAATAGCATTAATTGGTAAAACAATTCCACCACCATAATCAGAACACGCCATAACAGTATAGCCAGAGCATTCATCCCGTGCAGCTAGGCTAGGGAAATTTGAATCTGAATAAATGCAACATACACACGCATGGCGCCCTGGGAAAACAATTCTTAATTGCGGTAAGCGAAATAAGTCTGCCCACAACTCTGATTCTAACCATAAATAATGGTCTATCCCTACTCAAATTATATGTGAGTGGATGTGCACCTGATTCATTGTTTATATAACTCTCGTCTATTCTCGTCACCAGAGAGTTTTTCTACTCAGAACCCCTCGGTACTTGGAAGAGTTCGTACTAATGCCGGGTCACTTAGGACATGTACACGGAATTACATGTATACAGGTCGGATTGTCAACCTCCCCTAGAAGAAAGAAGTATTTTGGCCACATGTGGAAAATGTTAGGGCATGACTTTATTTTTCTAACTATATGGCCTATCACCCGGAAATAACTACATTTACCCCAATGCCCACATCTTAATGAAAATATTGCTTTCGGTCTTCCGTTTTCTGAGTTCCGTTATTTTTGTTAAAAAAACAAAAAAAAAAAAAAAAAAACATGATCTGATTCAAAGTAATACATGGCACAGGACGAATATTGATTATTGATAAAAACTGTCACAATATCTCTGAAGGAGCAGCACGAATATAGTACTTGTTTCGAAAAACAAAATTCAAAACACATGCAGCAGTGACGTGAAACAAAATATAATTTGATATGTCCATGAAAAGTTAAACGATACCCACAATGTCCGGATTGGGGGGGGGGGCGTATAAAGCATACCCCTTCTGTGGTGGGTGTACCGCTAGTCTCTGATTTAATCTGCCCGAAATCATACACACAATCACACGCATAAATAGATTTTCGTTGCCGGGACAACCCGTAAATTATGCCAACCTTGGGTCCTTGACATCGGTTTCAGTACATAGTCTAGAGTTGAAGACCCCTTAGCTACGCAGGTATTCTATTTATCCGCGCTTTTAAGCGTTTGAGAACAAAAATAACACGTCACTGCTCTGACATTTCAGACATGATTAGAGGGTACAACTCGTTACGCTACTTTTATATATACGTTTCAGTCACCAACTGAGTGTAGCGAGTCGTTTATCAAACTTAGACGGCAACACCGGGTACTATCGTTAGTTAGCCCTCTGCCTTCGTCCCTGCATTGTGAGTATGTCGGGTGGTGCTTCAAGGACAATAAGTATCAGTTAGAAACTGTTATTGTCATAGCAACAGCGGGGGGGGGGGTGTGTGCTGAGGGTGACAGATTAACTGGATCGGTCGATACCAGATTATTGCGGATCATGATGAAATGACGTCGTGCAGTCTTAGACTTCTTTAAACAGTGAATATGCTTTTCTGACGTTTTGACTTTATTTTAGCGGCAGCAACTGAGCAACGGCTGGGCTTGATCGTGGTACGGTGACCCCGGGGACAAAGGCCGGATATACCTGCGTACTGGCATAGTTTCGAGTCGCCTGTGTGCGGCGAAGTTCACCATGGGACTATTGAAGGTGATCGGGAAAGAAGGCACCGGGGAAGTAGAATTCAAATACCCATGCGGGCTAGCGATCGGCAAAGAAGATGGCCGCCTACTGATAGCCGACAGCGACAACAACAGAATCCAAATTCTAGATGAGGAGTTGGTGTTTATGAAACATATGTACTTTACACAGTTCAAGCAGAAATGTTCCCCTTTCGGCGTGACGTCATCAAACGGTAAATATTTCATGACGGATCGGGGGAACAGTCAGGTAATTGTCAGTGACTATGACGGGGACGTACTAGGGGTGTTTGGAAACGATAGGTTTAAAGATCCACGAGGAATCTGCGTAAGTCCCTTCGACGGTCAACTTTACGTGGCCGATTTTGAAAAAGACACTATAGAAATATACACCATAGAGGGCGTACACGTACGTTCACTCAGTTGGGAGTGTTTAGGGAGAGGCCAGCTCGATGGGCCGTGCTGTTTGGACATTGACGAAAAAGGAACTCTATACGTGGCCGACCATGATAACCACTGCGTGCAAGTGTTCGACTCTCAATACAGACACGTGCATTCCATCGGTGGCGGGGGTCAATATGCAGGTCAACTGTGTTACCCGAAGGGAGTGGTCGTGGATACCCAGGGTAATGTCTACGTCACCGATGAAAAGAGTATGGTACAGAAATTCTATGGTGGTACTGGTGAACTAATACGTCGGCTCGATATCGGCAATCTAAACTGGCCGTGCGGCATCACTCTGACAGCGGACAACAGAGTCGTGGTGGCTGACAACAGTAACCATTGTATTAAAGTATTCTCGCAATAAATACGCTATACTGAAGCTCAGTTTGCACGGCTAAACTGGTTCGACCGAGAGTGTGCCCAGCACGGGATAAAACGAAGGAATGTTTTCTAGACACCATGCTGCAATATGCGATATGCCCCTTTATGGTCAAGACAAAGATAGTCTGAACAGGAATGTACAACTTTTAGAAGATATGTTTGTTCAACTTTTAGAAGATATGCTAACTAATTCTATATTGCGCCCAATTAAGAAGCAATTCTGTATTACATACATCGGAAGAAAGAGAAAAAAAACAACGAGAAACTATACCTTCGACGGAAATGGCCGCCGAGGTCTCGTTGAAAGCGAGATTCACGTGACTTATCGCGTCCTTATGTATGACCGACATTTATTTGTATTATTCTGTTTAAGATTTAAAATTCAGACACAATTTTTATGGGGATTTGATCAATTTCCAAACAACAATGGGTGTGAACCTATAAGACTGAATTTCTAGCTGACGGAGTACCCAGAAATACACAGCGAAATCATCTTCTTTATGTCGCAATTGCCATCTACTATTTTTAAAATGGCACTAACATCTATCAAAGTATTCTTTTAATGTCTAGTCAAAAGTTCTGTATAACAAGCAGTGTGAAGACCATGATTCTCATATTTGTTTGCAGCCCCATAAAACTCATGCAGCTATGTAAATGAAGTACTAATAACAAAAATCACCAAGTATACTCGGTCCGTTTTTGCGTGTGTTCCACCGAAACAGTTAAAGTTAAAGCGTAAATTTCATTCAAAACAGGATTTCTACACATGTCCAGATCTAATTTTTTCACAATTTCTTCCACACTAAGAACACGCTGACTTGAAACAAAATTGTAGCTAATCCTTACCTATAGGGTATCTATCCATAGGGTGGAATAAAACAACTGTACTACTGTATACAAATTGTTGTTTTTTTCGCCTGGTTCTGAGCTACACTTATTCACGATGATGTTGCTAATGTATTAGTTTTTCTGTAACTTCCCCTGTACATTTTTGCAAACTCCACATGATGATTAACCCGCTAGTTTTACGGAAGAGCACATATTGGATCGAATGGACGGGTGTTTTTACATTTCTTCTGCAGGTTGATTAACGGGCAGTAGTCGTCGCTCCACGCATGCACGATATATATGGGTCTCATACAAACAAAGATGGCGACTTTGATTGTTGCACAGATCAACGAGACGTTACCAAGCTTTAATTAGGTATTTTTATCGAAAGTATCGAAGGAGTCAACGGCGTTAATTAGTGAAAGTCACGCCCAGACCAAACATAATATTTGTGATTTGCATTAGAAGAAAGTATAGGATTGTGGGAAAACAAATGTCGCACATGCGCAGCGCGAAGACCACCGCCCTTTAAGATGTCAAATCGTTACCCAACGTGTACGATAAGAATAGTGTAAGTTGTAAATGACGTCACTGAGCAATACGTAATGTAATTAAGTATTCATGGAGACGTCATATTCGGATAAACCAATATTTAAATAAAACTAAAATAACGACAGTATTTACAACTGTTGTGGGTTTGAAATAACACAGCAACGGTATTATTCATGAAACAAACTTACTTGCTATTCACAAAAAATCACAGAAAAGTTGTAATTACATATTTTCGTTAATATCCATGCACGGTATTATGGCAACGATATAATTTATACTGATTCGAATGGCATATCAAAGTTTTTATAAACTTAAAATTTGTCGTTTTTTACACATTTTTTTACCATGGCCCTTTAAATTCAAACTATTACATTACACATTTCATAGCTGAGTGTTATGCAAATATATCATGATAAAAAATACAGTGCGATGATGTTTACAAGATTGTACCTGATTGGCTAGCCAACCCCGACATCTAACAATCAGACCAATCAAAAATTAGCACTTTTTTTAGACATTTTTTTCGGCGTTTTTAATTCTGCCTTGTATATAAACTGTGATAATAACGTATTTTGTCTCTAAATAAGGACATGTCGAATGACGTCATATACGGGCTACTTACGACGGAAATTGTGTATTAATTCGTTTGCATAAGCTGTACTAGTGTTATTTAGTCGAGAATCAAGAACCCAGTTATTGATTTTTTCGTTGACATTTTCCTAAGTGTGACTTTTTGACCTTACATTGTCCCTCGCAGACGACATAATGAGCGCTTCCAGTGGGTGCGAACTGTACATGCGTCAGTGAGTTTTATTGGTTTCAATTCACCTATTTTGATATTTGCACAGTGGGTTTAAGTAGCAGCCGTTTTATTTTATTTTATTTAGGAATTCATCAACTGGTAGCCCATAAATAAAACGACACCGCAGGATTATTAAAACGCTGGCTGCCTGCACGTATGTTGTGTTGTATTTATGGCAGAGCAGTCGAATTAAAAAGTTGTCTCCCCATTTTGTGTGATCTGTAGAAAATCACCCGCTGACTCCATGTATGCGTTATCAACTTCGAGGAAAAATATTGTTTTGTAAATTTCCTAAAAAATCTTTTCACTCTTTTATTGCTTTAAAAAAATAAAAAATAAAATTAAAAAAATAAAATATCTAAAAGGATCGTAAAATCTTATTTAGGAAGTACTTCCTAAAATAATGTAACAATTCTTCAGTGCAGGCTAGCGTCAACCGGAATGTGTTGCCATGCCAACTGATTACGTCACAATAATCAGTGAAAGGAGTTCTGCGTATGATACAAAGTTGGAGTGCAAACTTCAGGTAGCCCATACATACCATTATTGAAAAATAATCATTAAAAAAGACTTGACAATATTTATATTAAAATCTGTAACTGCAAACTGTAAATAATATCAGTCTCAAAATATTGTGTAAATCAACAAATTTTTAGGAAAAGTGGTCAAATAAAAAAATAATTGATAACAATTTCCATTGAATACAACGATAATGCGTTCAGATATCAGAAGGGTTATCGGTATCTTGTCAGTAGGTACTTCGAGTCGTAGCTAGAAAACACAATCGCAGGTAAGTAAAAAGTCCAACATTAAAGCACGTGACACAGCCTTAGTAAATACTAGTAATGCATTCTGTAAGGTCGTCTTTGATTGAACTTTGATGTTAGGTGTCCCGCTGAATTTGGTGATTTATGTACTCAAAAACTCACGGATCAATTGTACGATAAGTTTTAATTTATATACTACCCAGTCGCACTGACCCATGGGAAATATGTGTATAGTCTAGGTGAATGGTAGTCATACACTATAGGTAGGTGAATTCACGCGTGGACAGACATGTACGACATCAGAGATTGGAGTTCGTAGCGAGTCTAAGATTACATGATCTCCTCAGCGTAGCACTCTCTTCGAAATAGGGCAAAAGTAGAAAACAAAATAAATCTGGATTTCACAATAAAGTGGGAGAGCAGACACGCCCGGAAATAGATGTATGCTACGTATACGTTTAATTTGTGGTGGTCTGGTTGGTATTTATAAATGGTCTTACATTCACTTTTCCGCGCACTCCTTTCCGACTCAGCGACTGTCGAATGTACACACACGCATGAAAACTTTTCATAAAATATGGAGAACGAATTGAAGTTGACAAAATATAATTTATGCCCTTTTGGTGTCCGTACGTACCTTTGTAAAACAAAATTTTGTTGAGCAAAATGGACATAGTTTCTTATTGTTTGCAGTATTGATCATTTTGAGGAACAACTATGAATGTAAATATGTTGTAAATATGTTGGCAACAGGCTTTTTTTAGCGCCCTCTATGTACATAAAGCCTCAGAGTAGGATATTTGGCGGAAAAATTGTGACGTCAGTGTCTGGAGGACATGGCTAACAGGAATTGAACAGTGAGATCACTAATAGTTCAAATCCAATACGATAATGATTCCCACGGAAATCGGGACCGAAATTCCCCAAAGACTTGAAGAAGCACACAAAGCAAATAGTGAATCTAGCTAGTGGTACAACAACGCGCATCTTCATAATCATTTCCAGATTCGTTCATACGTATATACGCCAAATGTTATTGTATATCGACGCAGAGATCTCCATCGACGGGTAATTCGCCGATTGTAACAGAATAACAGAAGTCACACTGTAAATCGATGCCAGTGTTTCAATCGTGCAGACACAGTTTTTGGTCGCCAATGTGATATGTTGTAACGACGAGGCTTCAATAATACCGCCATATCGATTTTATGCTCTTATCAAACATTTTACAGTACATAATCTGAATTGCATACTTTAATCTTCAGGCACGCGATAACTACATCGTTAACTTTGATCGGCTATTTTACAATCTTTTGTAAAAAAAGTCATGTCATGAACCTAAGTATCCCCTGGGGGGGGGAGTTGATACATAGCTGGGTAGGGAGGTGTTCATACCCGGAGAGTGGCACATTCTATACCCATATTTATACCAAAGTACCATTTCTGTCATCACTGTTTATTCCAAATAAAACAGTTACCGTATTTGCTCTATTAGAAGAACATCTCCAATAGAAGCACATGTAAGCCAACAGTTGCATTGTATATTGATTTATTCAAGTTAAAATGTGTATTTTGACAATAGAAACACCTCTGTCACTTACATGAGAGCATATTATTAACACAATGTTTAGGTTATATTACCGATATTTATACCTATCTTGACCAGAAATAAGACCGACACTTATACCTAAAATCAAAAAAACGAGAGTGACCCATTTCAGGGGTACTTCCCCATTAGGCAAGTTCTATGTATTGCCCACCCTGTAAGTATCACGTCTTCTACACCAACCCTTCTAGTTACTCAGCACACTGCTTGGGACAGTATGTCACCATCCATTACAGTGATGGAAAAATAGAGACTGGAGATTACAGAAACATCACAATAAACTGCTCAATTCTGATAATAAAAAAAACGATATTCGGAGTGAAGCTTATTGCCGTATTACATCCACTGAACTGCACAGCGACGCTCTTACACCGCGACGATTATTATGGGGTAGTATGAATCAAAATTAAAACCACTCCCCACTCCCT